CAGATCCACTATACCAGTAAAGATAATAAAATAAAAAATATTAAATGGCAGCTTAGCAAATAATGAAGGTAGAAATCATTTACACTATCTGCCTTCCAGAGTGCATATTTAATTTTCACATTGTTAAATGAACTGTATTTCTTTTTAAATTAATATACTATTTTAGTGATTTCTTAAAAACAGTTCAATAAATATGCTCATCCACTTATCTTCTTAGTCTGTTTCATGTTGTTTACCATTCTAAGAGATCTTTTCTTACATCAACCATTTTTAGAATTTATGATATTGTTACAAAATAGTACCTATGTCAATCCATATTCTTAGCACATCTTTATTTTATTTTTTATGTATTTAGTACAGGGACTCCAGGGTCTTATTACACAGATTGGACATGTAGTGATTCTCCTGTTCAGCCTCCCAAGCACTGGAGTAAAGGCACATGCCACCACGCCCAGTCTCACCACTGCCCTCTTAGCGCGCCTTGGGGATGGGGCTGGCACTGCAGGCTGGGGATCAAACCCTGGTCCCTGATTTTACTTAAGCAGATGCTTTAATCTGCTCAGCTATCTGGCCAGCCCTGCATTAGGACATCTTTACAATGACATATTTTCCTACAATAATAGTCATAATTACTACCTTCAAAAGTAGAGATAGCATATAATTTGCTTTTTCTCTACTCTACTAGGGATTAAATTCAGGGGCTGTGCATGCTAGATAAACATTGCAAATATCAGCTACATCCCCAGCTAGTCTATCCATATCCATATATATACATTTTTTTTCTTCTATAGATATGATGTACTTTGGCAATTAACTCATTCATAAAAGACTAGCCAATGAAAGCTAAATCTTAATTTTATGTCATTGTCTGACATTTCTAATTTATTTAAAACCAAATACTGAAAAACACACGTAACAGACCTACAAAATAGTAATATTATAAAGCCATATAATCTAATTTACTTAATTGGAATACAAATGCTATACATAATAGTCCCATGTTAAATATATATTTACTCAGGCAACTTTAACGCATATCTGTAGTACACAATGCATATTTATCTGACCAACTTACATTACAAAAAAGTGTAATGTTAATTGCTGTCATCATTTACAGTCAGAAATGAGACTCTTCATGCTGTATAAAAATAGTGTAGCACAGTAAACATCACAAATATAGTATAAATGGGTACATGCATATTTTGAGTATCGATTCTATTTATACTTGAAGTCAATTAAATAATTTACTTTACTTCAAAATGTTAATCAGGAATATAATTTTCTTTCCCATATCAAGTGAGATCATATATTACATAAGCATCTTACACGCCAGCAATGATTAAATACACAATAACAAGTATTGTTATTTCTGCAAAGAATTTTTGTGCAACTTTAAATGTACTCATTTTGTTTACACAGGAAACTTGACTTTTATATTAAAAGAACATTTAATTTTCCATTATCATTTTCCTATAGACTCTACTACTAGCTTTTAACTAGTACAGCAAGTATCAATTACTGACCTCAAAGTGGCAGTCTCTACACAGAAAATTTAGTCTCCAATTACCAGTTTGTCTCTTCCAGCTCTATATCTAAGACAGAAATTTAATACCAAGTTTTCACAGCTACAAGGCCATCTAAATGTGTTTCAAATGCACATATAGCAATGGATGAAGGAATGCCACAAAGATGGATTCAAGTGGAAAACAGTAATCTCTTTGTCAATGAGGGATGTGTAACACACCAAATTTTCACTTTCTGAAATACTACTACTGCTATTCTCTTCACTTCTAAACATATTCCATCATATATACAGCTTCGCTGATTTCTTTCCAAATTCAAATACAACTTTTCTTTGATCTGAAATATGTCAAAGGTCTCATAAAATTAGGTTTTGTTTTTTTTTTTTTGCAAATTATGACAGGACAAAATAGTTTTAAAATGTTACCTGCATCTAAAATCTATTTGGACTTTCTGAAACAGACACACATATGTGAATAGCCTTAGAGGTTATTTAAAAGAAAAAGCAGATCAGGCATTTTACAAATTAAAAATGTTCCCAGTTAATGCTGTCATCACTACATGCAAGACAGTGACTAGGAGTCAAAAAGTTCACAAGCAACAAAATCTCAACTTTATCCCATTTATGACAGTTTTGTTAGGGTTATATAAAGTCATTTTCTTCCAGAGAAGAATCCCTAAAATGGAGCAGTCAAAACTGTTAAAGATGAAATCTGAACTACTATTTCTAAAGATTTCCATGAATTTTATGGTTAAGTATTTCTTTTTACAGAGAACTTTCTAATTATGTTAACTGAAATATGCTAGACAAATGTGTCTTTGTAGATGTCAAAATAAAAATAACAGAATTACTCACATTTTTTTCTTCAATAGTGAACCGTTTATAGTACTTTTTGAATTTATCATCTTTACTATCTACTTCAACTTTATTATTATTCTGAAGAAGTAACACTAAAAATATTCATTTGGAATACAATAATCAAGTGTAAATCAACTCATTAGCCTCACAGGTAGGTTCTGAGAAAACATAAATACAAATTTTAAAAGGTATTTTATTTGAAAAGGAGAACTTCATTATTTACAAGGATGTCACAGTTTTCTATTTTATCAATGAAGCCTTATCTTTCTGAGGAAAGAAGGTTGACAAATTAATTAGATGCCATTAAACTCTTCAAAAGGAGAAACCTAACTTTTTAGGCTTCTTAAAACTCCCAATTTTCGTGAAGTAAAGGAAAAACACATTTCAAGTAAATTCACAAGTGTCCTGCAGCAACATATTAAAATACTTTATATCTTTCTTAAAACTCACGAACAGACAATTTTTCCTAAACTGCTGCTAGGGATTTCACTAAAAAGTTCAAAGAAAATTTTAAATAAAGAGGAAAAAAGCATGTAGTATATGAACAACTTTATAACACATGATTTTAGTAAAAAAAATCAATTCTTAACATTTATTCATTTATAAGACTAACTTCATTTTTTAACTAAGGTTTAAAAATGTAAAAATATGGCATATATATTCACTATACTTATCTACGTAACTATAATTTCCACTCAAGTGAGGATAAAGGGTTACAAATATTCATAAATCAACTTCATAAGCTAAAGCATATGCAAATTTTTCTATCTCATAATACAAAAGAAATAAGGATGACAAATGCCAATAATAATGGACTTCAGTTTCGTCAAAATAATAAACTTTGCCAAGTGGACAATTATTATCTTAATATCCACATTCTTCAGAATGCATCAGAAATAAAATTACTTTATCCTCATGAAAACTACAGTAGTATTTCAGAAAAGCTTGCAATACTAATGTGCAAATAGAAGTATTTGCTAGTTTCTCAACTCTAGCACAAATGAACTTCAAACTAATAATATTCCCTACCTCTAAACAACACATAATTTAAGAATAGCTAAAGATGTAAAGAATACTGTTGACAGCCTTAAAGTCTAGTAACAAATACAGAAGATGAAGATAAAAAAAGACATACATCCTCCCAAGTGTATCAATCTTTATTACTATGGGGAGGTCTTTTTAATATATATTACAATTAACCCTAATGGATACATTAAATGCTCTGTTCCTAAGTGCTGGGATGACAAACTATCATGATTAATCAAAATCATAAATA